CCCCCCCCCCCCCATCATTCCCCCTCCCCTTTTTCTCACTCTCTGCCTCCCTCTGGTTTTCAAAGAGAAACATCAGCTGCTCCCTCCCTCCTCTAGCTGTCTCTGTCAGTCTGGGATATTCCAGTAAAACCACTGATACACAGCATGTGCAGGGCGCACAGAGATACAGACACACACACAGACAAAGATAGACACAGACAGACAGACACAGACAGGCACAGAGATACAAAAAGATACACACAGACACACACAGATTTACACAGATACAGACAGACACCCAAATATACACAAATACAGACAGGCACACAAATATACACAGATATATTCACAAAACAATTTGCTTTTTTAGTCAGCATAGTAATTAAACAGTCACACAAGGCAAATATGGGTGAAGTTTTTTTTGTCTTCCACCAAACACACAAGCAAATAAATACTCAATCTCTGACACACGAAGCAAAGCTGCCTCACTACATTAGAATACGAAACATAAAAATTTGTGTTGAACATAAGCAGCTTCCTACGAATTTATGAATTTAGTGAGAGTCAGAAAGGTTAGGTTAGGTTATGTCAGATCTGGTCAGGTGAGGTTGGGAAGCATGCGCTGATGCAATGCCCACCACATTAAGAAATGCCTCGGTATCCCGGTTCACAACCCCCCCAGGCTGACAAGTGGTCCAGTCCCAGCCTCTGGAAATGGATGTAGCCATCTGCCACAGCCAGGTGTTACGTGGGTGTCCCCTTGGCCTGGTCCAACCGCTCGGGTCCCCAGCAATGAGGATCCTGCAAGCCGGATCACTGTCAGGGAAACACGCCACATGGCCGTAGTGCCGTAACTGACGTTCCCTCACAATGCAGGTAATGTGCCTTATTTGGGACTCCCTGAGCAACCGTTCGTTCAACACAAAGTCAAACCAGAGGTACCCAAGGATTCTTTGAAGAGACACAGTACCGAAAGGGGTCCAGTCTTTGTCTCAGGTCACCAGACAGGGTCCATGTCTCACAGCCATACAGCAAGACAGGGAGCACCAGGACTCTAAAAACTTGGACCTTCCTCCTCTTCAAAGATATCAGGAGTGCCACACACCCCTTTCCAGCGACCTCATGACCCTCCCAATCTGTCTACTGACTTCATAGGAAGAGTCACCAGAGACATGAATGTCACTGCCAAGGTAAGTGAACCTCTCGACGAGGACACAATGCTGGTGACTGAGCCCAAGAGGTCATTAAAGGCCTGCATCTTGGTTTTGATCCAGGACTCTCACAAGCCCAGACACTCAGACTCCTCACTCAGTCTCTCGAGAGCCCTGATCACAGCCTCCATTGACTCCCCGAAGATCACAGCATTGTTAGCAAAGTCAAGAGCAGTAAAACTTTACTCACAGATGCTCCGCAGCTGCTGGACCCCACAACCCTGCCCATGACCCAGTCCATGTAAGCCTTGAGCAGAAGAGGAGCAAGAACACACTCCTGATGAACCCCAGAATCAACTAAGAAGAATGCAGAGGTTCTGCTTCCACTCTGCACAGCACTCACAGTACCGGTGTACAGGCCGGTCATGACGTCCAGCAATTTTGAGGGGATCCTGCAAAATCTCGGGATGACCCTTTGGGCAGCTCAATCAGCAGAGCTGAATGCTTTATGAAAATTGACAAATGCTGCAAAAAACCCTGCTGAATTTCCCAGGACGTGGTCGAGGAACATGGAACCACTTTCACGAGGTCGCCAGACACATGGGGACCGACACCGTCCTCATAGCCAGCCCCGTCAGTGCCGGTGGTCACACTGAAGTCACCCATGACCAGAGGAGTGTCACTAAACAGGCACCCATTAACAACCAACTGAAGCTGAGAATAAAATGTCTCCCTCACTGAGATATCACTCACCACGGTCGGAGCATACACTGAGACACCCAAGGAGTTCCATAGCCTAAGTCTCATAATACACTCCTTGAAAGGAGTGACATCATACACCACTGGGAGGAGCCGATCCACTACAGCAACAGCTACTCCCTGAGTATGGCAGCCATCAGACCGACCAGACCAAAAGTAGGTATACCCACCTACAGAGATCTGGCCATTCCCCGGTCTGCGTACCTCAGGGAGCGCTGCCACCGAAATGCGGAGTTCACGAAGCTCCCCCGACAGCAGAAGAAGATGGTCATCTGGCCCGAGAAACAAAATGTTCCACACACCTACCCGGATCGGCTGCCATGCAACAGGTGATGCCCCAGCACCACACCAGCTCCAATCCCCAACAGCCTGACTTTCCAGCAGTTTCTTCTCTTCCAAGGATGAGGCTCCCGAAGGCTTCCCCCATCCCCGTCATCATGCGTGCAGCCTTCCTGTGGGCGGCTGCAGCACAGCTACTCCTGCAGAGAGCAGATAGGAGTCCTGTCCATTGCCTTGGAGCTGTGTGAAACGTTTTCACGTTTTATCTTGCCATTAACCCCTAAAATTTTCCCTGCAAGTTGAAGGACCGCTTGCAGGGCCAGATGTAGTTTAACGTCATACCCAGGACGAGGCCAAGGTGGTTAGGTAAACAAAAAATGTAGATGGTTTTGGCTCTCTGGGCCTCTGAACAGATGCAAATGACTCCGGATCTGTGTGCTGCTTCAGTTCAGCTGGGCTGAGCATTCCCTCATCTCTGTATGAGCGCATGTGCACAGTATGAAGGGTCACCAAGTCTCCTTGGCTATGTCTCCTGCTCCACTAACCACAGTGGATGGAGAGAATACAGCCTGCAAGGATGGTTTATTATACTAACGGAAATGCAGAGGGTGGCAATACTAAAAAATACCCTCTAATATATGGCTGCCCAACTCCGCTCCTGGAGATTTCCCACCCTGCAGAGTTTAGGCGCAGCCCTAATTTAACACACCTGGTACAGATAATCAGGCACTTCAGTAGCATCTCGGTATAACAGTCAGCTATGTTAAAGCTAAGCTGGCTCTAATACTGAAATATTACTGAAGGCCCTGATTATCTGTATCAGGTGTGTTGCATTAGGGCAGCACATACACTCTGCAGGATGTATCACACATTCACCTTTTATGCATGTATAGTATATTTACAGTATAAGGTTCCTTTGCTCATATGCATGTGCATTCCTTTGCGATACAAAGCATATTATTTCCACAATATCAGTAAATTAGAAGTTCGGGACAATTTTTTTTTAAACTATTAATGAAGACCACGAAATACATATCGTCATATTTAATGAAAATCAAATAAAACGCATATAACCCACACAGCCCCATTCAGCCACTCATTTTCCAAACTAGGACTGCTGTGTATGGTGAATTTCCTGAATGGGGAATGGTTTTGGGAAGGATCCACCACCACTACACTTTCTCTTTAGTGTGATAACTTGATGAGTATTTGATGGATCTTTTTGAAATTTTGCAAATTTTGAGACAATCACACCAGATTGAAACAACACTACTTAATGGCAGCAATGGGAAGGGTGACTGTGGACAATATCTGACATTGTGAACATGATAATTCACAAAGTATCGAATAGTCTTAGATTTGATCTTATTATCAATTCACAGAAATCATTATATGGATGAGATCTGCACCGGATGTCATTTTCAGACAAACTACCCCAAAAATGAAGCAACACCACTAGGTGGGAGCAAAGGAAGAAAAGGGCAGATGCAGAAGACACTTGATCTTGTGAATAGCATAAATCTAACAATATTTCATGGATCGTTTTCAAATTTCCAAGGAACATTGTACTGGGCAGTGGTTCTCAAACTTTGGAGTATCAAATAATTAGGAGGAGTTGCAAGATCTGGTGAAGCTGATTGCATTGAAATAAGTGATACAAGGTTGGGCTTTTAATAATGATTTTTTTTAAGAGGTGGGGAGAGTGTAGGGTAGGCCTGGGCGGTTTTAGGGATTAGATGCTGGGCTGTATGGGGAATACATAGTTGTTCCAACAGTATCTGTTTTTTTAATGAATTGCAATCTATTTAATTGTTCAGCTAATATGTACAGAGGAAGGACAGCATGTTATGCAATGTATAACAACGTAACAAAATACAAATGCTACAAAATGCTGAAAATGGTAATGATCAGTCATTGAAAGGCCACTGCATAGTGTTATCAGGTGCAAATAGGATTATATTCATTTATGTCATTTGGGTAAAAGTGAAAAATGCCGAATCACATACATTCAGATATATATTGCCTTTTGCAACTATAAATGTGCTCCCGTGTCTATTTTTGCCGGTTGCTTGGAAGCGTTACCTCTGCTTATCACCTGTTCCTATGAGGTCCAGGAAAGAAGTGTGAAAGCAGACCACAGGAAGGAGAGGAAGGGAAGGAGAGGAGGAAGAAAGTATGAAAGAAGAACACAGGAGTGGAAGGAGAGGAGGAAGAAACACTAGAGAAGCTGCAGAGAGGAAGCAAGGCCCAGAGAGAGAACCACTCATACAAATAATGCAACACACAGTCTTATACATTTGTAATTACAATTGTGAAAGTTTGGGCCCTTATTACCCAGAGAACTGAGGTTAACACAAGTACTGGGACCAAGAGAAGAATCAGTCCTATTGCAAGGAATAATACTAGACAAGATGAAGTGATTGTGTGAGACTTTGCCCACTTTGAGCCTTTGATGGCACACTTGCCATTTCCCAGTCTGGTGTGGTCTTGCTACACATGCAGAATGAGGGGAGACCCACACTGAGGCCAGCACTGAGCCTGTCCTGGGGAGACCCACACTGAGGCCAGCACTGAGCCTGTCCTGGGGAGACCCACACTGAGGCCAGCACTGAGCCTGTCCTGGGGAGACCCACACTGAGT